GGAACGCTAGACATCATTCAAACGAACAGGCGAATTTTGGAGTTTGGCGAGTCCTTGCGTTGCTTGTGGACAGTGGTTTCGCGTACTGTTGCATGCAGGTCTGGTTCAAGTTCTGGCCTATCCACCGAAAAATCACAACCATTAACCCATTAAATCCAGCTTATCGCCATCGTTCTGAGCTCAATCTCACCGAAGACACTGACTCTGACACGTTACGTGGATATCGTTATCTACAACGATGTATATGACGCGGTATCAGTACGCATAATGCTTTTCTGGCCTGCCAATCTGTTTTTTCTTTCTTATTCCGTCTCTCCCTGGTTAGCTTGCGTATCCGACAATCGTAATATGTTTGATCCACGGTCCCTTCTCCGTGGCTGGGATCCATGAAACCGCGACTGAAATTCAGCAGCCTCAAAGACGGGAAAATAATGGCGGCGTCTAGCAGGATCGATTCTTCGGAAAGTACTGGAATAATAACAGACGCATGGCTCTCTCTATCTGACATTTAGCGTTATCTAACTTCCTTTTACATAAATAAAAATCTGTATTATTATCGCAAGGATAGACAGGCAGTGGCAGAGCTACCTATGGTATTACTTGATAAACGTTTTAACCTTCAAAATTGACACAGGAAAGTTTCGTTCAGGGACTTAGATCGACTCTTCGGCTAGGAAAACATCTTGAGTTTCGCATCAACCATAACTGGTGACCGGTGACCCTGGGGCTCCAGAGGGCGTTGACGGATACGTTACTTAAGTATGGGTACCGGTATAGTACCGTTGACTCCTCGGCCCGGCCATTCACGGAACTTGCCTTGCGGTGTCCCTGCGGGCGCCAAACTTTAACTTTCCTTTTTTGAACACTTTGTTTTAGGCAGGTGCCCCTCCTGCCTTTCGAACTATGCTAACACTTCAATATTTTAGAGACATAGAGCATATGGATTTCGATCTAGACACAGTTCTTCTTGAGAAACTCAAGAATGTCGCAAGTGTCTCCAACGACGACATTCTATCGGAAGGAGAGTTAGTCCAATGCCGACGCCTACTTGCCAAAGCACAGGAGCAGCTTTTATCAATTGATCCCCAAAGTAACGAAGTCGAGCTAGCGAGGCTCACATGTCTCATTCAGACACTATCCATCGCGTTATCATCTCAGAGGAGGCTGCCGCCTGAGATTTTGGAACGTATATTTTGCTTCCTCATTCCTGATACGAAGTCATGGATGTGGCTCCCTCCGACTAAAGCGACGCTATCGATGCCTCCCTGGTCATTGGGTCAGGTGTGCAGGACCTGGCGGCACATATCGCGCTCGATTCCTGAGCTATGGGGAATGGTCAACATATACTTCATCCATAAGATGTATGTCAATGCAGACGTGGAGAAGGAATTCCACTACTCCTCAGAGAGGGCATTGAATGCTTTGCGATGTGCAAACGAGCTTTTACCGCGATCTGTTCGAGTACGCGTATCTGGCGTTGATGGGCATGACCTGACTGCGAAGGATTGGCTTCATCTGAGCGGTAGTATTACCGATCTGCATTGGGCTTTTGGCGATAGCATACCATTCACACTGCATCCACGGCTCTTCTCCGGTCTGGTTAGTCTCCGATTTACCAATGCTGTATGGCATACAGATGTTTCGGATACCAGGGATCTTTTTGGGCCATCGCCTAGGCTTCAGAATTTGCAACTTTGCTCAGACACACCATCCTTTTTGCTTACGGATATTCCCTGGCACCAACTTCATTCATTCAGCTTGGAGATCGTTTGGGTCGAAGATTCGTCGTTGTCTGTCTGGCGCAAATTTGTAGCTCTTAGTCCATCTGTCAACCTGCATTCTCTGAAAGAGCTTCGTCTTCAGCTCCCGGGCAAGCTTCAATCCATTATATTCTCTTTTAATTTTCCATGGCGACAATTAACCTCCCTATCCATCACATGGACTGTTCCTGATACCCAAGATGGTTCCGAGACTGAACACCAATATCTTACCAAGATAACGCAGGCGCTACAGAAATGTGCTTCCCTTACTCAACTATCACTTAGCGCCAATGATTATGATGCGCCAAAGTATCGGTATCCTGCATTTCGACGTCAAGTTGAGGGCCTAGCGATGCCATTGACCCTTTGTTCCTTGACGCTCAGACTTGATATCTCTACACGATTGCCGAACAGTGTCCACTCCTCAGAAAGCTTTCGTGTTACATTGTCAAACATGGAGACTTGGAGTCAGATACACACAGGGATCCTCCAAATCTGACTATAGTCCTGAGAAACCTTACAAGTCTCTCACTACAGATATACGGTCCGATACTGCTCTCAACAATCGCGACACCTGCTCTAACGTTTCTGGCAATTGAGGTCTCTTCAAATGTTTCCAATTTCGATGTCGTGGATGAAAGCTTTCATTTCATTACACGCTCCAATGCCAGACTTCAAAGATATGAATGCAATTCAGACATTGGCACCATGCCAACTCTGACAGGGCTCTCAGATCTCCTTTCTACCCTCGAAACCTGCACAGTCGTCCGCATTACCTGCATATATGACTCCACTGCACTTGTCAGTGCTCTGTCCGACGAAAATTTGCTACCTAACATCGAGGATCTCTCTATCTCCTGTGGTTATCCCAATCCATATGATTTCGTTTCCATCGTCAAATCCCGATTGGAGCGAGAAGCAAATCTAGGTTTGATCAAATTGAAGAGATTTGTGATTTATACTCCACTTAGGGATCCCTGCAAGCTTCGGGCTGTACTGAAAGAACTAGGGAAACAGTACGGTGTTGTATGTACCGCTAATAAGTATCCGTTTTATAACGTTGATTGAAGAGTGGGGCGCATGATTATGGGAAAGCGCGTGGACGCGCCACTAATATAACTACAGTACTATAGCTATGTATGCAATTTTGACTATCAAGTGGTGATATACTTATACATCGGAGAATGTTTTTATCCCGCGCTTAAACTAATGTGTCGTATGCAACTTCGAATGCCTCCTGAAATCAAATATGGTACATTGTATTGGCCAGTGAGCGACAATCTGAAACTCCTATGGCAGAGGGAAGTACAACAGAAAAAAGGAACGAAAAACTCATACCGCATCCGACCTGCCTGGATCGAACAGGCGGCATCAAGATAAGTACCCGTTACAGTCTTGCGCTCTACCAACTGAGCTAAGGTCGGCTGTACTTCCGCTTTCATATCGCTCTCTGGATCGAGTGTGAAGACAGCGGGACGGGAACCCAGAATATGGGCCACATGAATCCCTTTAAACCGCAATTACCGTCACGCTTTCCTCAAGCCATTCCTGGTGACTCGTAGACCCTTGTGGCGACCTCGTGGATCCCACCCGCGGACGAGCATTCGTCGACTAGATACATGACTAGTGCCGGATAGAACGCCTAACAATATACATAATAAGGCTTGAATACTTGAGAACTATGTGAGAGTGACTGCGCACCGAGAGCATGAAATACACGTTGGTCACGACGTTCGTTACGTTGAGCTGAAATGGTGAGGTTAGAGGAATTGGACAAGCGTTGATGACAAATGCGGCGAGCTGTGGTAGCAAGTAGATTACGCAGCGGTTAGGACACGGGCGTCAGGCGGGCGAGCGCTAGAGAGACAGACCTGGAGAATGCAATACACTGCGCCCGTATCCGCCAGCAACATAACTACTTGCCACACTCGAAATTCGTTGCGGTCGAGTTTGAGGTTCCTGAGGAGTTTCAAGTGGCCCCTATTAATCGACGATGTAAATGAATGGTGTATGACAAGCATGAAAGAAAGAAAGAAAATCGCACCAGAGGATGTGGGATATTAACGAAGTTGCAAGGAGATTGGTACCGAAGCTCAAGCTTATCGCTATCATCCACGATACATTACCGCGCAACCTCCATGGTATCCCAGCCCATGAGTCGGTGAGGTCTGCGATTACCCACACAACACCATTCCTTCATGTCGTAATAAAAAACCATTTCAGTCAGTGTCACTCTGTACACCCATATGGCAGAATGCGCGACATAACATACCGAGACTGGTCAGCCACATTACAGCTAGAACATACTTCGCCCATGTTCGCCCCGTAAACAAGACCCATGCGCGCCAAATGATGAGGGCATCGTTCACTATGGGCTGGCAGATATACGCGTCAGTGATAGGGTTGATAGCGGGACGCACATCAGCGAACACACCAGAAAAAAGCGGGCTAGAGTTCCAATTATCACAACAGCTCGCGACGTAGATTCATTTAAAGTCGCGAAGGTATCGTCCATGGATAAATTGACGATATGATGAGCAAGCACTCCGAAGTCATAGAGAGCATTGAGGATAGCGGGAAGAATCACGATTGTTGCTGCGAGGAAGTTGATTATGATGACACCAAGTGTAATCTTGGTGCTCGTGCTTGACACGCCGCGATGCCTGTGCGAATATATACCGTCAGTTCAAGAGCAGGGGGGCAGAGTGGTGAAGGTAGCGTTCCTGGTAATATTGTATATGGTTATAAGGGTGAGAGGAGTGAAGAATCCTGCCATACGAAGGTTTCTTCACTAAGTATCAAATGCATGACTTATACATACCGTGTATGAAGCAGTCAAGACCGATGCCCACTAGGTCATCCCAGAGTATACTTCCCATGTCCTGGAGCAACGAGCGATCATCTGGAGTCATGGTGAAGAAACGTTTCACGAAAGAGTTGACTCATTTGAACATACTGGTTATCTACCGCTTAACAAGCGAAGTTACCCCTAGTGCTGAGGTTGGATATTGTTTCATCTTTTGATTCAAGGCAGATTATGCTGCGGATTTTAGAATCGACGAGAGATGAAACTGACATAGGCAGCCAGGAGCAGCGCCTCAGTGCTTCACTTGTGAGGAGGGCGAAGGAGAGGATACCATCAAACCCCGGGGCCAATGATGATGATTGTCAGGAAATGCGTTGTTGGCTGTACTGGTGGAGCGGTGCAACAAGGACATACAGGTACCTTCTAACCTCGAACCGACCTTAGCTCAGTTGGTAGAGCGCAAGACTGTAACGGTTACTTATCTTGATGCCGCCTGTTCGATCCAGGCAGGTCGGATTGACCACATGTCTTTTTGGGTTTCTTTTTGTTCTCATCCTCTTCGGGAGCAAACGTTCTTGTCGACAAGAAAATGTCTAACATCACACGACTTTGGACCTCCCTTGGCTTCCAGCTGCGC